GATATATTTTTTAAGGATTAAAAATGTGGAATTCTACACGATCGTATGCAGCCTTTGATGTTCTTTTATCGCATTAAATACGCTATAAAATATGAGGACACTCTAGAAAGAAAATACATATTTCCAGGTACCTATGAACACAACACAGAAAGGAAACCTAGAACTCTAGCCACGCCTTATTGATGGTAGAGCATTGTCAAAGTACAATAGAAATATAGTCTTCCCAGTGTATTTTCAATCAATAGTTTATGTTCGTGTGCACTAGTTTTCTCAGAATATCTCTATGGTGGAATCGAAGGACAGATATTTCTATCTGGTCTACTTCAAAGTGCCGACCGTTACTGTCCTTTCTGTGTTGCTCATCTATTATGTGCCCATGTGATATCTTGTATTTCATCTGCTTCTTCTCCCGCCTTTAATGCATCATATTCAGTAATTTACGTAATCTGTAGTAAGCGAAGGACCAACTTTTATTATGAATATTTTTTTCTGAAAATTCAATATTTTTTTGAAGTTTTTGAATAATAAAATATGTTGTATGTACCAATACAAACTATTGTGCATACTACATATTAACTTTTTGCATGATTTAAAAAGTGCAGCCACGAAGAAAGGGGATGGGGAGACGGCACAAATGATGAAATCAGTATCCAGCACGAGCAGATCGTTTCGTTCAACTTATAAATATGGAATTTAAAAAAAAAAGTATTTCTAAAGTAGGTCATGGAAAAATCACGCATGTCTTTCTTTTATTTTATATTTTGGATTTAATTCAGATCACAGATCAAGTGGACGTACAATTTATTATTTACTATATTTTTTGTTTAAACTTATTTAATAAAATGTGTAATTTGTTGAATGTTTTATTTTTGATGTCTAAAATTTCCTACAGGTATAATGTATACTAGATGTGATTTATTAAGGTTTTCTTAATTTCTACACATTCTCGCCATTTTTTAATAAAATGCTTCATGAATATTGTATAAAAGTTCAGAGAAGACATGTGTTGAAAAAGAGATCAACCCAATAGAGCATGTAATTGACATAATATATAGCAGCTTCCAAAACATCTTTCAATTAAATATTTATGTAGACTTTACAGAGCATATGCAAATTAGATTGACCAAAGTATTTTTTATTTTCCAAAAAATAAATACCAATTCGAAAGACGTTAAATTGGTGGTTTCCTCCCACCTTATCTGAACTGGGGCGTCACGGGAAAATTCGTAACATAAAAGAAACTAGAAACAATTTGATTTTGAGCGAAAGACATGCATATGTATGCAAGGGAAATCTTATATTATGAGTAACTCTGTGTTAACTGAAAAACTGACAATACACAGTTAAGTTTGTATATTGGTATTTTACGGGGTCCGGGGTCCATACTATTTCATAGGGACCGGGTATTGCTATACTTTTAAACGGTAACCGATAGAAAGTTGTTTAAATTAGACAAAAGTTACGCAGTTTTGTGTTTATTAAAATGGTGCATAGAAACCTTTAATATCTACAGGGAGATTAAAAAAGTCGGACAAAAATGAATGAATTTAAAGAAATGACAATTTAAATTTTTTGTCCGATATCAAAGGTTTCTTGGCAACTTTCTGTTACCGTTTAAGAAATAGCAATACTGTCCCTATGAAATAGTATGGACCCTGTATACCGTAAAGTCAGAAATTGGTAAAATATTACGAGGAGTCGCCCAAAGTTCCATTTTGGGTCCTCTCTTCTATACAATTTATAATAACACTTTTTCAGCAATATTACAGAAATGCTAAGCGTACATGTATGCGGACAATACTCAGTTCTATATTGTATAGAATATTTCATAAAATTAATTAAATTTTATCACTGCAGGAAATAAATATTTTAAAAGAATTCTCTACCAAGTACAACTTAGTAATCAATACGAATAAATCATATACCATGTTTTTTTTTGTTTCAATCCTTCCAATAACTTTTCTGTGAATATAACAAGTCCTTGGTGTTCTATAGATTCTTGGATTAACCTGTGATTGTTCAAAAAGTGCTTGTATTTTGCGATCAAATGTTTCACAGTCGCACAGTATGTGTTTGGCTGTTTCTGTTGTGACATGATCGACACAATAGGTCTCCATTATACACGTCTATTTTATTTAGGTGTCCCTTTACCGGAGCATGCTCAGTCATTGGGTTCAACTGGTTCCTATTCATAGAGGGTTCTCGATATTTTTTTTGAACATGTTCTTCCTATAAAGATTTTCCCAGGTGCTTATTTTCAGATTTTTCCCAATAGTTTTTGTGTTTTCTCCTAACCCAGTATTTTATGAAACCTCGAACTGTACTTGCTGGTACTCCAAAGTTTATATCTGATTCCGGTATTTCTTCTGCGAGTTCGTCAGTCTTTTCATTGTCCTCGACACCTTGATGACCTGGAACCCAAACTATTTCGGTCTGTCAATTCTTCGATTCAATCATATATATCAGCCTTGATGTTACTCCTGACTCGATATGGCCTTAATAGTCCCCTGAGCGGCTTCATTACATCATTACACCAGGTCGTACAAAATGTTTCAAATACTTATTCACTATGGGCGTTGGGACATTTTCGCGCTAGCTCTTAGTGAAGTTGTCGTTCTAGCGTCCCTAAGGAAGTTGATACATGTACCTGTAGTTTTAATGTAAATCGACGGTTTTTTTATATTACATTAACGATATCACATTTGTCGGACAAAAATCACGTGGCTTTGAGGCGGTCTGACACTTCCAACATGTCGCTGTGGCGTCCCTAAGGAAGATGATACATGTTTGTCCGACAAAAATAATTATGAATAACAATGTTATTTTAAAACATGTAGTAAATGTCAGACAAAAAAATTGAGTGTTAACGTCAATCGGACACCAAAAGTCCACAAAATAGTGTAACCATGTAGCACACTCCATATATAATAATGTAATCTATTCTTTGTTTGTGATTATTTTAATTTTATTATTATATAAAATATTATAATTTGTAATGAAGTCAATTTTCATTATTATTTTTTTTTTTTAACTAATTCCGGGTATTAATTTCGATTTTTACTTAATTTTAACTTCGTGGATATGCCCTGTATATCATCAGTGTGTCTCTGTTCAAGCCATCGTTGAGAGTACCTGCGCGAGTTGTAATGGTGGGGTTTCTGCTTGGAAAGGGAAGCGACGATTGAGCCAGCTCGAGGAGTCAATTAAAAATTTTAGTTCTGAATAAGACTTGCTTTTATACCGTTGTACTGAATAGGTGAATAACTAAATTAATCCGATTCGATTCCGATATTGCTCGCGAGAGACAATCAAAACCGAAACTTATTTCTAGCCGCGATCTTGACGATAGGTAAATAAATTGTTGTCGTTGTTTTTATAAATTGATTTTTTTTCCGCTCGAGACTTTAAGCGGTGCTATTGGACACCGATTTATTTTGATTTATTTTTAATTAACAATATTCCGTGTCGAGTTAAGGATTGAAATTTGTTTTGATTAAGAAATACTTTAATTTATTCTTGTTAGAAAACACCGTTCTTTTGGAATTTCATTTTAGTTTATTTAAGGTTTAATTGTTAAATAATTAATTTTTCATTCGATCGTAAATATAGTTAATTTTTCCTACTACTGTAAATTTCCGTGGACAAATCATAAATTTCATTTTAGTTTATTAAAAGCTTTAACCAATAAATAATTGGCCGGAACTGTTTGGGAATTGTCTAATATTTTGATTATCTTAATAGAATTGCGACGAGACATTTTCTTTTGTTTTATCCTCCGAACAGCAAATTTTTAGAGAATTTAAATAGCACCATTCCCCTATCTGAAGCGGCTCGTGATTGCGATCACTTCATTCAGAGATAAGGTGTTATACCGGATAATTAGTTTGTTTTACATCTGAAACATTAATTTGCATAAGTCTCCGTTATTTCAAGAGAACTGAAATAGTATCATTCCCCTGTCTGAAGCGGCTTGTGATTACGATCACTTCATTCAGAGGTAACGTGTTATCCCGGTTATTAGTTTATTTTACGTAAGACTCCGTTATTTTAAGTGAACTTAAATAGTATCATTCCCCTGTCTGAAGCGGCTTGTGATTACGATCACTTCATTCAGAGATAATGTACTATCCCGGTTGTTAGTTGGTTTTACTTTCCAACCACTAGTTTGAGTAAACTTCTTATAGAGTCCCGGTTTCAGCCCTGGAATTAGTACTGTCCAGAATCTGTCTCCTTGTATTCTCTGCAACCGCATATGAAATTTTGCTTTGCCGAAGCATTCAATTACATTTGATTGTAAATACCGATTAGACAATTTAACAGTTAATTTTTGCTACGACCGAATTAATACTTCCGAACGAAATAGCAAGTTACATTTTTAGCTCGACAACCGAATAGACAGTTCAATAATAAACTTTTGCTGCGACCGTGATTACTACAATTATTGATTTCATTTTTTTCTTTTCGTCTGATTGAGGCTATTCGGAAGTCATTTCCGGCCGTCTTGTTTGTTTATTTTTGTTCAGGGTTTGTACATATTACCGTGAGGGTGGGCGTTGAAATACATTCATTTTTTTTTGTTGTAAATAGTTTAAAACAATATATGTGTCAATGTTAACTTGCCGTATTACTGGTTATTAATTCCTTACTTTATTTCCCCCTTGTATTTCAGCTAGTGATAAATTATGTACCAGCCCAAGCAACGATTAAAGCCCGTTACTTGTGGCCTACTATTACCTGTGTCTAAGTGACCTTTGACACCTGGAATTTTTCATCTCCATCTGTAGCTACCCGAGTACTTTCGACGCCGTTTCGAGAGTTTGTGGAGTAAACCATAACCAAAAATCTGGCGCTCGAGAACCGCCCGTAACCAGCGCCATTCGTAAGGAACCGTTTTCTCTGTGGCGAGAAAACCCCTTATAAATTAGTCGATAGGCTTACATTCTTCCAATGAAGTTTTTTTTTTCATAAAACAACCCCATTTAAATAGTAATTTCACGACTATGGTTGTTGTGTAAGACTACTAAATTGTTTTAAACAGTTTTTTTCATACGTAATGGTACACACGGTGGCTAAAATTAATTTTTATGTAAAATGTATTAAGTAACAATTTACTAAATGAAAATCGGATATTGAAAGTTTACTTACCCTGTATTTGATATGTTGAAAAAAATTCTTAAAAATAATTTAGTAGTCTTACACAAACCATAGTCGCAAAATTGCCATTTTAAATGGAGTTCTTTCATGAAAAAATGCTATATTTAATTTTTAAAGTCTACATAATTTTTCAGTACTGAAAATGTATTTTCTCACGAAGCAAAAATTTTTATGAAGAGATGTTTTTTTTTTATAAAATCAATAATAGATAGTTTTCTCATTTAGTAAAAGAAGTTACTGGGACACGCTGTATAATAAAAAATACCTACTGATTACCACAATAATAATAAAAATTATAATAATAAGAATCAAAGAATGGGTTACATTATTATGTATGGAGTATACTACGTATGTTTGTATACTTTTGCGTCACTACTCAATTTTTTGGTCAAATATTTACTACATATGTTTTAAAATTGCATTCTTATTTATAATTATTTTTGTCGGACATACATGTATCAACTTTCTTAGGAATGCCACAGCGATATGAAGGGGGTGTCGGACCACCCCCCCCCCCCCAAAGCCACGGTGATTTTTGTCCGACAAATGTGATTTCGTTTATGTTATATAAAAAACAGACAATTAACATTAAGGGTGAGATTACAGAACGTCTGCAACTTTGCAGATCTGCAAATATGACGGCAACTTTGCAGATCTGCAAATATGGCGGACTTACAGATGCAAGTATTCAAAAAATATCTGCAAATTCGCAATATTTATTACCCCTAACAACACTAAATCAAATCCTACAACCATGAAGTCTTCTGTTTCTTTTGATTGAATACAGTTCATGGCGTCAGATTATCGAGTTTTTAAACATAGTAATGGATTTGGGTTTAGTGTTGTTGGGGATAATAAACATAAATATTGCGAATTTGCAGAACTTTTTTGGAATACGAAAACTTGATACATGCACATGTAAGTCCGCCATATTTGCAGATCTGCAAAGTTGCCGCCATATTTGCAGATCTGCAAAGTTGCAGACGTCCTGTAATCTCACCCTAAAACTACACGTACATGTATCAACTTCCTTAGGCCCGTATTTATAAACAAAACTCAGCTGAGTCGGACTTGGGTAAGTCGTCCTTGAACGAAAATCGAAGTTCGGTTATATCGCGTGAATTTAGAGATGGGTAGTAACAAATCCGTAAATGTACATAACAGTTACAGATTTGCTATTATTCATCTCTAAATTCCAGTTTAACACCAGAACCACCTAGAACTTTAGAGACGTTGTAACCGAACTTTGATTTTAGTTCAAGGACGACTTACCCAAGTCCGACTCACGTAAGTTCTGTTTATAAATACGGGCCTTAGGGACGCCAGAACGACAACTTCATAAAGAGCTAGCGTGAAAATGTCCCATCGCCCAGAGTCAAGTATTTGAAGAAATTTGTCTGACTTGGTGTTATGAAGCTGCTCAGGAAGTTTGGCGTGTACATGAGTTACAAAATCCAATGGTCGATGTACTGGGGACTATAAGGGCCGCTTGGCCACAGTTTATTGCTAAAGAATCAGTTAGCTCACTCGGATCAGTTGGATGTTCCAAAATAATATCCACTCCAGGGATACAAATTCAGGATGCGCAGAAAACTGCTGTTTGAATAAAGGCGGTTGTCATATATTTTATTGGTGATGATTTGATTGTGTATGCGCCAGGGAAACAAATCCGAGTTGCGCAGTGTATAAATTGGAACATTGAGATCAAAAGTGCCGACGCAGAGTGAGCGAACTGATTCTTTAGCAATAAACTGTGGCTTGGCTGTATGTTTTGGATTTTCTTATTTTCGATAGCTCTCCTATTGTTTCTGTTCACTGCAATATTGCATAAACCTCAGCCTAACAGACTGAACGACGACATATTCATATTGCATAGCTAAAGTTGGTTTTTTAGTTTTGGATAATACTCCAGCCCCAATGTTCTTCTCGGTCTTTGACCCGTCTGTGTACCATGTTTGGTTTCTGTCGTTGGGCTCTGGGTTCTCTTTATTTTGTTTAGTATTAAATTAAAACCTCAAATAGGGTGTTGAAGGAGTAACGTTTGGTTATGTGATCTGTTCTCATGCCTAGCACGTCGCCGCTCACTAACCTTGTAATACTAATGTGACCTGGTCTAATGTTAAAATTTCCCATGGTATTCCCTAATCTATAAGTACCTAAGCTTGCCTCCCCCTGTATCACAAGGGAAGTGGTGGAAAGCCTATTAGTGCTTACGAGTGCTGTGTTTATACTTTCACATATGCTGTATTTTAGAAAGCGAAAAGAAAAGATTTTCTGGATATATTAGTTACACCGGAAGTGAGCAAAAAAAAACGAATACTCAAAAAACATAAAAATTAGAATAATTTTTGTAAAAACCGATTAAATAGTTTAAAATTTATGTAGGTTTGAAAAGGGTCCCTGTATATAACCCAAGTTATGGGGCGTAAATATTTTCTATGTGGGGGCGCAATCTGAAAAGGTTGAGAAGCCCTGAACTAGGTACTCTGTTGACAACATTAACTTTTCACATTTTTTTTATTAACCTTTACAGACCCGAAAAAAGCAAATCTGCCGAATCTGCTCCCAAAGATGACTCTTGTGAAGTAACTTGTCGGTCAGAAAGAGATTCAAGTAGCGATGAAGAAGCGACGGACAAAAACGATACAACCACCGAATTTGAAAAAAGAAATATAGCCTATTTTCAAGCTGTCGATTTAACAAGTAAATCTTGCGTTTATTGCAGTGTGAGCTACAGTACGAAAACGGAATTAAAAAATCACATGTTTGTGAAGCATAAATTAAAACCGATGAAAATCCGACGAAAGAAAACTGAAATTGATGGTTCCTTTGTTTGTTCGGAATGCAAGAGGGGATTTACAAGAAAGTTCGATATGCAGAGGCATATTTTAAAAACGCACCCTAACTGTAAGTCTCCCTTCGAACCGTCAAGTAGACAAAAAAACGTCGAATTATTAAATAAGCATAAAGTTGTGGACAATGGTGTGATCTACTACAAATGCGACTTCTGTGAAGTGAAATCAGTGAAAAGTTCTTCTTTTATGGATCATTATAATATTCATTTGGATCAAAAATCGCATTGTTGCCACCTATGCGGGAAAAAGTTCCGTCGTAATTCCCACGTAAACCGCCATATAAACATCGTACATTACGGTTACAAAAATTTTTCGTGCGAATATTGTCAAGAAACGTTTTCAAGTAAATTTGCAAAAGAAGAACACCTAAATATTCATACTAATAATAGGCCCTATATGTGCGATCTTTGTGGCAAATCGTTTAAACAGTCTGCATCTTTGTATGTTCATAAAATGTACCATAATCAACTATACCGTTATACTTGTAATGTCTGTGATAAAAAATTTAAACGGAGTGGGGAACTGAAGAAACATCAAACAGTACATAGTGGTAAAAGGGACTATGATTGTGACGTCTGTCAAAAATCGTTTAAATTGAGGCAGGATTTAAAAAGACATACAAAAATTCACGCTATTTTAGTATAGTAAAAAGCTTATTTAATGTATTTTATTCCCGATCATATACACTGCTGACGAGATCAGACCTTTGTTCCTTCTTTACTTGTACTGGAGTGAGTAAAAAAAATTATGAAATCAATAGAGAAACATACAAACTTTATTAACTTATCATCCATATATTCCATATGCTCTAATAAAGTGTCTCAACGTGTGCTCAGCGGAGGGGCCCCGCAAAACCTGTATCCGCCAAAAAAATAGTCTTAATATTCCCGGGGTCCGGCAGCTTTAGCTGAGGACGGTTTATTTTGTTTATGTTTTTAGAAGTTCGCAACGGTTGTTCTTTTTTATAGATATCACTAAGAAAGGATCAAAGGATCCGATTTTTGCTTGAAGACCTGTTTTTTGAAATGTCAAGGGTTGCAAAGTAAAATAAAACTTATTTAATGTAACCCATTATATAAATTTTAAAAATTTATTTTTATTATTTTAGGGCTTCGTCAAATATTTCGCTTTTTAAAAGGGTTCCATATCAAAAAGTTTGAGAAACACTACTCTAATATGTTAAATAATTAAATTGCTTTCATTTTCAAAATTATGCTTCAATAATTTCAATGACCACTGTGTTATTCTTATGGACATTAATGACAGTATGGCATCCAGTGCTATGACCTTCCAGAACCTGTGACGCCACTAAACACGCGCATTCTCATAAAAAGTAGGCACGTATTTATTTATACCACTAAACAAAATTAAAAACTTATTTCTAAATAGGCATATTCTTATCACACTTCCTTTTGAGGTGACTATTTTATAAAATACACTCACTTATTAAATTTAATAAACCAGTCCACGTTAATTAACAGACTTGATATATCTTTAGGTTTTTCTAAATTGTGAAATTGTATATTAATTTCAATCGGAGGTATATTTGTTTTCTGCAAGGTTCAAGTTAAAAGGTTTTTGAATCGTACGATATGTGGCGACCATGACAAAAAGATCACTCATCAACAAGTCAGTTTGTAGATTGGGTAGATAATCTACCAGAACCTATTTCGCAAAATATAGGTCACACAGTTAAACTCAAAAGGCAACATTTATCAGAAGACGCTAAAAATGTTATTTTAACTGTTTTTAACCGGCTTTGTAGTCGAGGAATGCCCCTAAAAGATGCTATCCAGGAAACAGTGTTTCATACTGTCACAGGAATTCCTAAGCCGTCTCTGTCTAAGCAAGCGACCTTCAAGTCTGTGGCACCCGACTCATGCTCGAAACGACGGAATCTTCTAGGTATGCCGCTGAGGCTCGAGAAACGGCTAGAACGGGCGGAGCGTGCCATTGAGTCAGATATGGAATTTTCGGGATCGTCTAGATACTTCTCGTACCAGAGTTCGACTTGGTATAAATAGCCCGACTCATCGGCGGGCAGTTTAGTTTAGTAAAAAGTATTGGACTGAAAAGTTAAATTGTAATAAAAAATTAGAATTGTGAGTTAGTGCCTAAGTATTATATAAATTAATTAATACGTCATAAATAAATTGTAAGTAGTGTGTTTTAAATAAATAACCTCTAAATAAATTAAAATATCGTCACAATACTTCTCAGGCTGCAGTATACAAAATTAAAACTAGGTCCGGCAAGAAGACGAAAAAGAAATTCAGGCAATTCCATATGAATCAATTCACATCAGTTAGCGCCAATATATGAAACAATCTACAGTATGTACACACTAAACATCATGCCAAATCTTGGAGGTATTCTAGCAGAATTAAAAAAGAAACATGTCCTTGAGGTATGTTCTGTTAGAACACTTGGAAGATTTTTAAAAAACATGGTTTTAGATATAAACCAGTAAATAAAAGACAAACAATAACGGAATCTAGTCGTTTAGTAAAAGAGAGAAACAAATATATGTCGAAAAATTGGGAGTATCGCAATGAAGGAAGGCACATCTATTACTTGGATTGAAACATAGTTTGATAGCCACGATACTGTTTGTGAAGCTTGGACAAATGATAGTTGGAAATGTAAAACGGTAGTTCCCCATTCTCGAGGTAAACGCATTTGCATACTACAAGGCGGTGGAGAAGAGGGCTGGGTAAATGATGCATTATTGTTAAGTTCAAAAAAACATTAGAGATCTTTAGATTATCACCAGGATATCGAAGGAAATATTTTCGAGTCTTAGTTCGAAGAAAAACTGTTGCCAGCACTACATCCAATAATGCATCATATCATTCAAGGAAAACTTGTAAGATTCCAACCAAATGTTCTACCAAAGAAGAAATCAAAAAATTTTTAATTGATGATTTATGTTTTGAAGAGCATTATATGAAGGCCCAACTTATAGAAGTTCTAAATACAAAAATAATCGCTAAGGAACATATCGTCAACGAAATGGCCAAGAAAAATGGTCATAATGTGTTAAGATTACCCCCTTACTACTGTGTTTTGAAGCCGATTGAACTATTATGGGTCCAACTTAAAAAATAAGTAAAAATAAATTATACTTCACCAAAAAAATCCAACAGCATTGTAAAACTATAATTAAAGTTCTCAAATATTACCTCTAAGAACTGGAGAAATGCTATAAACTATGTAATAAAGGTTGAAAACGAATATATGCGACACGTACCAGTTTTAAAAAGACTTGTAATTAACGTAAGCGACGGTGAATCTGATGAGGGTGATGGTAGTGATTTAGATTAGTTTTACAAACATAATTTTTTAATTAATTTTTAAGAATTCATAATTGATTTTAAATTATATTTGCTTGTTAAGTACGACTCTGTACAGGTATCAGTATCAGCAGGCAAAACAAATAATGATTTTAACTGACAAAAAATTTTACACTATATCTTGACTGTATAATAACTTGAATTAAATTACCTACAACAAGTGAAATTGCAATTACCGATAAGGTGTAACTCATAATACAACCTTATTTATCATCAATTTTCTGATGTTGCAAAAATAAACTCAGTCGAATATCACATATGTTCCTGGAAAACTTCTTTTATTTTTTTTATGTAACTAAAAAAAATACAGAATTGGTTATAGTTCTTATTGATTCTTCTCAGACATTATAAAAAGTACTTTTAATAATCATCAAATATTAAAAGAAATATCAATTTTATTACTATATAATTCTACATTAATTAAAAAAAGAGACATATTTTACCAAAATAAATCACAAAGTGGGTTCGGTTAGTCAGGAGTTGGAGCGATACAAGATCAGAGTTTTTTTTTAGGATGCTTTTAATTCAGTAATCGGAATAAATGAACGCTTAAGAGGAAACCGGACACACACAAAACTGCGATTACTTCTAGATTTGTTATTTTTTATTCGATATGAAAATTCAGATAGCAATGGGCCATGTTCACATGTGAGATATGCTGTTTTATAAACTATATTGTAATAGTTAGTCGCTATACAAGTTATTCTAAATAATCAGTTCGTTAAAAAAGCTAAAAGTTTTTAAATTAAGCCCAATTGAAATTTAAAATTTGAAATTATACGTCATCGGGAATAGACCAATCAGCTTGTGTCGAAGTTTTTTTTGTTTTACAAAACCAAGCCAACGAACAAACCTACATACAGAATGTCGAAGTGAACGCACATCTAAGTGACATTAAAAATTGACAGCACCTAACAACTAACCTTAGTTTTTTGTTTTGGTTTAATTTTATTATTAATCTGAATTTATCTGGGTAAATTATCCTGTGGGATATAGGATATATAAAGGAAGAAGAATATGAATTTATCAGCTGTATTTATAAAAGTTGAATCAAGTATTTTTCCCATTGTAAACGAAAATATGATTACCGAGATGATTACTGCATTTTTTAACAATACTCAGTTTCCAAAAGATAGAAAGGTAAAACTTTATTTATAAATTGTTTTAATGGTAGGTAGTTACAGTTTATATGAAGCAGTACACTTTATAGTAAAACATATTTATCTCAGGTTTTATTTTTAGATCTGCCAAGCAAGAATATGGAGATATTTACTTTTTCCATAAGAGAGAAGGAGACAAATTACACCTAAACATAAAGTACAGCAAAAACCTTATGATGTGGCTGTTTTTTAGTGCACAATGCTTAGGATATGTTGAATCTCAAGGTTTGTAATATTTATTATGCTTTTTTGTTTTTATATCACATATAATAAACAGTGTATAAGGCCCTTTATTCTTATAAATATTTTTTTTCTAATTTTGACATAAAGAGACATTTTTTGTAATCGCAGCAAGTGTTAAAATAATCTAGAAATAGATTTTGTTAGTGAACCTAGTAATAATTATGATACCAAAGAATGCTGCAGAGCACCTATGAAATTTTGAGTTAAAACATGCCATATTTTTAGGCTATTTTTATACCCTTTTCAAAAATTTTATGCTCCTCGTTTTATGCAAAACTTAAAATGCTCTGATAGCTTCGAACGAAGTCAGCAAAGCACCTCTGTTTTATAAAGTTTTTTCTGTAAAAACAGCAACACCATATCTGTACCTCGGAGCCAGACTATGTTAAGTCCAAATTGGCCAAATTTTAGGTAAATATGTTAAGTGACTTAAAATTTTGCGGCGCATGGTTCGATATTTTCCATTTTGACGTATCTTTTAAAATAACAAAAACAGCTCATTTTTTAACTACGCTAAGCCCACACTCCACAGTCTAAAATGAATATATAAAAAATGCTCTCCTGAAAAACTAAGTTTTTGGACTTAACATACTCTGGCTCTGGGGTACAGATATATTTATGCACTTGAAATATTATATTATTAAAAAATACATGGTGCTTGCTAACCTTCGAAAGAAGCCAGCAGAGCAATTCGGTTTTTTAAAGCTTTTTTCTAAAAACCACACCCCATTTTTAGACTTTTGAAATATTGTAAAACTTTACTAAAAAAATTGCTATTTTTAAATAATACAGGGTGCTTTGTTGGAACAAAGTCAGCAGGACACTTCAGTTTTTTAATATATAAAAACAACTACTTATGACATAAAATCCTAAAAATGTGGTAAGTATATTTGTTTTCAGAAAAAAACTTTGAAGTCAGCAAGGAATTGCGAATTTTTTTTAAAAATGTCAAATTTCGAATATTTTATAATATTGTAGGAGCCAAAAAATGTGGTGTGGTTTAAAAAAAAACTGGGGTGCTCTGCTGGATTCGTTTGAAGCTAACAAAGCATCCCGTAATTTTTTATTTTATAATACTCAATAGCCTAAAATGAGACATAGCTGTTTAAACAAAAATGGTACTTTTAAAAATAGCAGTTTTTTTCGAAAAGCTCTATATTTCAAAAATGTGAAAATGTGGTGAGCTTGTTTTTTTTAAGTTTTGAAAATCAGAGGTTCTTTACTGGATTCGTTCAGAGCTAGTAAAGTGCTCGTCTTGTTACATAAAATAAGGCATTTTGTAGCTGG